GTACTGATTTAAAAAGCCAGTGGAGCCTGTCTGGCTTAGTCAGAAGGGCTTGTAACTCGAAATCTGGGGATCGTGAGTTCCAGCCCTATGCTGGGTGTAGAGATTACTTAAAAATGAATAAATAAACTAGGGGCGCCTGGGTGGCGCAGTCGGTTAAGCATCCAACTTTGGCTCAGGTCATGATCTTGCAGTTTGTGGGCTCAAGCCCCGCATCGGGTTCTGTGCTGGCAGCTCAGAGCCTGGAGCCTGCATCAGATTCTGTGTCTCCTTCTCTCTCTGCCCCTCCCCCACTCATGCTCTGTCTCTCTCAGTCTTAAAAGTAAATAAACTATTGAAAAAAAGAATAAATAAACTAAAAAAAGAAAAAAGCCAGACATTAAGAGATGGTTGGTATATGCAGTTCTCCAGTTCACATTAAATTGGGATGAAATAAAAACAGCGTGTCTCCTGCTGTTTTCCTGCAGCAAAAGCTTGTCACATTGGTGGGAAGTTGGACTCTTAAGCATAGTAGGTAATAACATCTTCCTAGCCCAGCCTACCCTCTGAAAATCTTCAAAACTAAATGTGGCTACAGGTTATTATCTTGTTTCAAAATTTCAGTATACAATTTTTAATCTCAAAATGAAATATTTAATTTCTCAAATTTGCTTTTTTCTGATCGAAAGTTTAAAATTATGAATCACGGTGCCTGGGTGGCTCCGTTGGTTGTCTGACTTCAGCTCAGGTTATGGTCTCGTGGTTCCTGAGTTCGAGCCCTGGATGGGGCTATCTGCTGTCAGCGTAGATCCCACTTCAGATCCTCTGTTCCCCTCTCTGCCTCTCCCCCACTGGTTCTCCCCCTCTTTCCCTCAAAATAAATAAATAAACTTAAAAAAATAAAATAAGGGGCACCTGGATGGCTCGGTTGCTTAAGCATCTGACTTCAACTCAAGTCATGATCTCGTGATTCGTGAGTTCAAGCCCCGTGTTGGGCTGTGCTGACAGCTCAGAGCCTGGAACCTGCTTCAGATTCTGTGTCTCCCTCTTTCTCTTCCCCTCCCTGAGACTTTCTTTCTCAAAAATAAATAAACATTAAAACATTTTTTTAAAGGAAATAAAAAATAAAGTTATAAATCAAATTACTTCTTATTGCAGTTAGTTTGACTGAGAACATCTTTTGTTACCCACTTTAATTCAAACTCCTATTTTAGCCACTTCTGTGGGTGTTTTTCCAGTGTGTGAAACAATATACTTGTATGTAGTTAGTATCTAGATACCTAGTATGATTTCCCAGATACTAATTTTTGAAGTTGAGATGTCCTCCTTCTTTGTTTTTTTTATTCAAAAAATTTTTAAGATTTTATTTTTAAGTAACCTCTACACCTAACATAGGGCTCGAACCTACAACCCTGAGATCAAGAGTCTTATGCTCCACTGACTGAACCAGCCAGGCACCCCTCCATTGTCTTTCTATTCACAAATACATAGCATCAGGTGATTTTTATATTTATAATAATATACACCCTAAAACAGGAACTAAGTGTCTATTCATTTACATCAGATTAATCTGAATCATTAAAAATAAAACACCAAAATTGATGATGGGGAAGAGAACAGTATGTTTACTGGTTGCCTTTAGACCACAGAAAAATTTCCTAGTGTATTTAAGCTTTAGCTGTCTTTCTCCCCAGCCAAGGGCTGGGGAGGAGTTGGGGCAGAGGGGCAGAACACACGAGGTCCATCTTGCCAGGCTGAGTCAGGCCAATGCAGCTGCTGGCCTGGGCACAAGCGTGGGCGGCCACCTGTGGCTCCCGGCACAGCTGTTTGGTAGAGGGCCAGCCAAAGCCCGGTCGGTGGGGTGGAGGCAGGTGGCCAGTTGGGCGGCCAATACGTTCTGGCATGGGCTGAAAGAACACCTGGTTCCACTCTGTGGACCTACCACAGAAGGTCAAAGAATGTGCTTGCTGGCAGCAACCTGATGGTCCAACTCTGACTGAAACAGAGAAACCCACCTTTCTTGAAACTTACCCGAAGCCAACACAGGAATCATTCTGCTCTAGTTGTGTTGAAATAGGTCAGCGAGGCCATCTGGCATGTCTGGAAATGATGTGGGGGGGCTGTCAGACAGGAACAGGTTCTGTGATTCAAAATAGGACATTTCAGGGGAGGTGAGAGCTTTCTCTTGTGTTTGTCTGCTAACTGCCATTGCAGACCATCCATCTTTGAATATCTCTGACCTTCATTTTCCTCCTCTCCCCATGAACTCTAACTACATGCTTGGAAACCACTCCCGGTCCCATGTATAATTTTGTCATCAGACATAGGAATTTTCATAGTGAACACCGCCAACAACAGAGACAGGAGCCCAAAGTTCACCCTTCCCTGACCCCTGAAACCCCTCCCAAGGCCTAGGGCCCACTGTTTCCCAGGAAGAAGAACACCATTTCCTCTGGTCTGGTGAGTCACTTTCTCTCGGATAGAGGACCATCCTTCCAAATTTCCCAGTCCCTGACGCAGTCCAGGCAGCTCCCTTCCATGTGCCAAAGAGGTGACACTGCTTCTGTGACCCCTTAGCAACTTATTCAATCTGAGCCCAGAGAGGCTTGTAAATAGGGATCAGCAGTAGTGTCCTCATAGTTTTGTTGTAACGCATTCAATGAGAAAATATATCTAAGTGCCTAGCATAGAACCTACGTACAACGGGGACTTAGCAAATAATGGTTGTATAAATGAATGATCTTAGTTTGTGCCACTCTCTAGACACAGAAGCTACACCTGGTCTGGACTGGCCCTGGTCTAGAACTTCCTGCTGACACTTTTGCTTGTGATTTGAGGGGCCTCATCTTACAATTACTGCCCTATAAGCTCATAAGGTAGCCTGCTGTCCACAAATGCCCTTGCTGGGGGCACAGACCAGGCCACTCCAAGAATTACATCGGCCTTGAGCTAGTAACGCCACCAATATTGAGCCACTGACCTGAAGACAGTCTGACTTCTGGGAGGCCTGCAGCTGGTGGGATAACTTGCCCCCTCTTAGGGGAAAACCAAGTTCAGGTATCCAGGCCAAGGTCCAAGAAGGGATCTCTGGATTGAATTTCACAAACCTTAAGGTTTGGAGCAATGAAATCTGACTGGTCAGACATGATGTTTCATACCCTGAGGTGACCGAGAATATTCAGTCTCCCTAACCCTTGGAGTTGGGACATCAGGTGCTATTGGGCCCTTGTATGACTACACAGCATTGTTCCAGTAAAGATAGATATTGCCTTGGAAATTATCTTTCATCATCTATGCAGCTCAAGGTTTTCAGTGAGGTCTGGTGAACCATCAGCCAAGACAATACAAGCTTAACCTTAGTTCTCTGACAGAGTAGAGCCAGCCGTCAGACTGCCATTCGACTTTGGGCCTCAGATACCATCTACGGATGAAATGAGGGACAAGGAATGCTACAAATAACCTCAGAGAAAAAGGTGGGAGAAAAGACCATGTTCCTTTTAAGTTACAGCTTGAGGTTTTCAAGCTGAGGCACAAACCATTGTGAACAGCTGTTCTTTTTGAAAACATATGTTAGTTTATTCCACACATTCTGATGATACGAATGAGAAAGAATTCCAAATGCAGCTTATCTGTCACTTTTTTTTTAAATTCAGTGACTGATCTTTTTCTTGCGAACGGTTATTTAGAATTTTCTAGTCCTCCTGGGCTGTGACTTTGTTTTCTCCCTAAATTATATTTTCCCTGGTCTTTTCAAAGTAATGGATCTTATCCTAGCCACACAAATTCACATTTTTGTTACAAAGATCAATACCCAATTTTTCTTCTAATTCACTTGAAAAATGTCAAAAAATGCTCCTTTTGGAGCATAAAACCTGAAAGATGATCCCGGTGCTCTCTGGAGAGCGACAGAATCTCCGTGGAGAGCAGATTGTCCTTATAGTCAGTGCCCTATGTAGGATAGTAGCCTTTAGATATTTCAAAGGGAGAAAACAATTAGCGAGAAGCTTAAAAAGAACTGTAGATGAGGAGACAGACTAGCACCTGTGGAATCTAAACTAAGGCAAATCTTATTTCTTGATATTCCTCCCTCCCCAGCCCCTAGCAAACTATCCTTTGCAAATGCAGAGGGAAGTTAAAACAGTTGCTTCTCGTTAACTGAGCATTCATAATACTCCAATCACTTCTGGCTCCTAGAATGACCTTGGGGAAATACTCCCCAAGACTATCTAATCGTAGCACCTGATTTCTTCTAACGTGCGAGGTGGAATGTGTGTGCCGGTGGGTATGGAAATAAGTGGATTGAAGCACAATCTGCTTTGGTATTCCACATCTTCTTACATAATTGATGAGATTGTCATTATGAACATACTCAAATAGCTAAGCATGCAGGAGAGCCATCTTTATTTTAGCTGCTGAGTTTCAAAACCTGCTGAGTTTCCTCTGCATATGATAATATACCTCAGCTCAGGGATGGCCGAAGCATTAGCTCAGCCTAAGAGGAAATGTCTGAAGGTGGAAAAGTATGCCCTTCAGGATTCTATGCTCCCTGTTGAATCTGAATAGAAAAATCCTTCAAATATGAATGCTTCCTTTCAGCACCTTGTCCACAATGAAATACCTTGCATCCTCTTCTACGTTAAAAGTATTTACACAGAAAGCAAAAGAAGCTGGGGGCAAAAGAGTCATGGGTAAATTTGGACTTCTTTTCTATTGCTAGAATAGCTGACTAATGGCATCTGGGGACAGAGCTGCACCAGGAATATCCAAAGCCCTTGTATTTAATATTACTGAAATACAAATATATGCAGTTTCTGAGGAGTGTAATAAGGATGCAACAAATAATATCAATCCCAGATACTATCTGGATAATTTGGATAATGTAGTGTGGTATTCCAAAGGATAGATCCTCCTACTGAAAGTTTCACACCAGCTTTTCAGGGAATAGACAACCTTCATCTGAATCATTCTTACAAGCTGAATTTTTATTTTTACTAAATTATCTATGTTAAAAAAAATCTGTGCCTGGTGTGGAATTTCACTCCATCAAGTGTTACAATGACTTTTTCATTTTCATTACAAGCAGGAGAATGAATGTAGGACAAGTGTTAGGAAACATGGCAATAAATTAGAATATAATTTACAAAAGCAAAAAAAAAAGTAACAGTGTACCACATTAATACTGAGTATAAAATAATAAGCAACAACTAATCACAATAATACAAAGGCAATTTCATTCTGTATTATTAAGGATACCTATGTGACATTCACTCCAATAAAATTCCTAATGAAATGGACGGCTTGGGAAGTTGTATGTATCTCAAGGGCTTTAATCAATTGGGTAGATTTTACCTTTACTTTGTGGCAGGACTTTGTGCCAGTGGCAGATACTGTTCTCAGCCATAGGGCATCAGTTTCCTTGCATCTCTCTAAGTAGTCCGTATAGCACGCTACTTTTGGAGGGCCTGCCATGGTGGTTCAGCCACCACTGACAATCCTACTGCTATTATTTAGGAAAAGAGCATCATGTAGCCACGTGGCTGACTACAGAGTAGCCCTGGTATTGTGACGTGCTGTAGAAAATTATTTGTTTCCCTACTCAGGGGAAACATTCTGTGCTTGGTTCCTTCTAGCAGAGTAATCCGATGCTGCGATGCTGCTCCTGGAAGCTCTCTACTCCTGGCCTCAGGGCTGGTGCACCCTCCTGAGGGAACACTAGCTGCCCATTCTTCTAGGGCCAGTCAAGGTGGCCCAGGGCAACGGTCCTCATGATGCTAGTTTCCAGGTGAGGTGAAGAACAGACTCAAGTTAGTCACGGAAGAAATCTTTTTGGAATAAAAACATGAGCTGATATTTATATTTGGGGAAAAATAGATCCTGATGGCAAACCTATGCCTAAAATGCCACAGAAACCACCCATCCTTTATTCCACCAGGGCACATTAGCACCAAGTTAACCACTCTTTGCAAGGGACCAAGGGAATTCAGAGCTGGGGGCACACTGCTCTTGGGCTGCCTCCCTTTCACTGAATGGATGGCATGCTGGCTGGTCTTAAGAGCAGTATAGAGAGTGGCCCTGGCAATTTTTGGGCATTGTCAGTAGCTTTCTGTGGAAAGCCCAGGGACATGAGCTGTGGTGTTGAGACAGAAAGCAGATGAGAAAATAGGGATGACCATGACTGACTGTGCAGAACAACAGCCTGTGCTGACTATCCACAGCAAACCTGAAGTTTAGGTTGGTTTTTGGAGTCTGTGAGTCTCTTTTCCTTTCTGAAAAGACCTAATCATCTACTTTAGGTCATGGTGTAGGTGAAACACTGGACATGTAGTTTGAGAGCACAGTAATGGACTGAAGTTGAACATACTCTTTAACTGCTAGTAGCATCTTTACAAAGTAGCCATTTGGTTGGAGTTTGAGGTGTTGGTGTAGCATGGTGTACACACCATGTAGGACACAAAGCACATTCATCAAGAACCTGCTGCAAGCTAGAAGTGTTCAAGTACAAAATATAAATAAGTACCCTCTTCTTTTTTGCTTTCTTTCAATCTGTTGAATCTTTTGATGAGCATGACATGAAACTTGTGGATAGGGAAAATAAGAGCTAGTCAATTTAATTTAGGATTCTGGATTTGATTCTAGATTTTTGACTTGTCCAAGAAACTTGGTTTCACATTTAATTGCCATTCAGAGTATCCATAAAAAAATACAAAATAGTTGGTTGAGTGACTATTAAAATTATGCTTTATGATCTCTAGGCTTCATGAGTTTTTCTTCTTTGGTTGTTATCCCTTGCCTACTTTAAAAACTCACAGAAATAGCACATTTATGTGCAAGCACACTCATCTACCCACACACTCAAAAGCGCCCGCTCACACACACACACTTGCTCTCATATAAATAAATGCCCTTCTGCCATATCAAAGAAGGGACATCTGGAACCCATCACAATTGTCAGCGAAAGGGTCCGCTTGGTTGTTGCCGAGCCAGTCTATCTTTTGCACGGCATCATTTCAGTAAGCTCAACATGCGTGCAGCAATCCAACGGGGCAGAAGCTGTTCTGTGGCCGGTGAGGTTGTAAACACAACTGAGCTGGGGTGACTCACATAAGGACTCAGGCATCCTGTGTGATGGCAGCAAAGGGCCTGGTTCTTCAGTGTCTACCATACCCCAGGTCTGGCTTCTGCATGAAACTGAAATGTTTTTCCCTTAAAGTTTTAATGGAAATCTCAGCTTCACTTGCACAATGGCAAATTGGCCCCAGTCTCTTAGCACAGAATTTATAGACTTGCATGGCCGCAGTAACTGATGCGCTGCCTTAAACTGAGTCCTTCCTTGTTGTTCGGTTAATATAGTTTATATATGGCTCACAGCAGTGTTCAGAACAGGGGGATTAGTCCTAAGGAAATTAAGTGGAATGAAGAAAAATAATACAAACTTTCATTACTTTTGATTTATAATTGCTCCTTAAATTACAGTTAAAAGCCCGTTTTAGAATTTAAATTGTGGTGCTGTTGTATTGAGATAAAGTATAGTAAATATTTTTAAGCTAGGACTTAAGATTTCTGAATCTTCTTTACTTCCATAGTTGACCAAGTCATAACAGCTACATTTTAAACAGTTTTAAATACAAATGGATTCAGTGTCATTGCTAAGTCCATAAAAAAAAATTATCTTAATGGTCCAAGGAGGTAAACAGGCTATTGGATTTACTCGAAAGAACACAAACGCTCCACAGTAAGCAAGTCTCCCTGTGTTGTTTGGATCTCTCCGATCTGGCATTCCCTCCTAATACCGTGTCCAGCACTTTGGATCAATAAATCCCACTTCACAGAAGTTAAAATAATATTGAAATCCTGTCAGCTAGGGCTGACCAGTGGTTACGTTTTCCACAGGGTAATGCATTTGCAAGGACATCAATCCTCTTCCTCTGGGTGGCTCTCTTTGATGGACGCATTTCCACGATGAAATGACAAGGCTCCCTCTCTGGCTCTCCACGGGTCAGTGTCCTTGGCAGGTCTTACAACACATCTGTCTGAAGTATGCTCGACTACAGAACTTGAACTTGAGCACCAGCGGGCAATATGCCACTTTGTTCACATCTTTGCACTCTAGCGAATGGGGGCAGAAAATGGAAAACAATTAGAGGCACATAAACAAGTGCAGAAACATGCCAATGAGTCTGCATGTTTGTGTCCAGTGGGGACCCCCTTGCACCAAGTCCACCTTGGCTTCCACATCCATGTGGTTTTTGTTTTTGTTTTTAAGCATACCCTGTATGGTACAGCCTACCAGAAACATTCTTTTGCTATATTTTAACACCATTTTAAAAAAATGATTGCAAGGCTTTTCTCCCAGACTTTTACAAGTATGGTGCATGCCCACTGTGTCTTGAAAGAATTACCATTTGTTGGGATAAGTGATCACTTTAGACAGCTTGGAAACATGAGTCATTTTTCCTACAGCTCTTTTATTGCTTCTTTCTCAAGGGTTATTTTATTCAGCAGTGCAAGGTTATCCAAAATCAAACATGAGTTGCATTGTTTGATACCAAAGTACACATGTCTCCAGAGAATCTGTGCATCTGTGAGGCGTGGGGATGGGCCTGGGTGAATGAAAAGGATTGCTGACAGTGGCCTAGATTCAGTAACTACACTAGACAAAGAGGAAAACTTGGAGAGGTTGGCCTCAAATGGCTGCAGTCTGTGGGTTATGGAAACATGTAGAAATGTCTTTTTTTAATTTGGAAGTGAGACATGGCCTTCTTTTTTCCTATGTGTATTTTCTCCTCAGTGCTAGAACTGCCACAGTTGAGGTCTGCAGTTCTTGCAGCCAGAAGGTGAATAAATGATTCTTTCTCCATCTTCCCTTGAGACTGGTTGCAGAAGATGGGGCGAAGGGGCCAGTATGGAGAAGAGGACACCGGCCTTTGATCCTCAGCACCCCTCTCACCCCCACATAACCTCACTACTGATAATAATGAGACTCTTCTGCAGTCTTCTGGTCACTTTTACCTGGGGGTTTTAAAATACTTTGTAAACCTAGTAATTAAATTTCCATATGCCTCCCAGAATCAAAGTTCCACCCTCATTTTTCCAGGTGGTTATATTGAAGCATCCTGGGTAAATTACTGAAGGTAATTAGAATCAGTCAGAATAGTGGGTGAAGTTCAGTGTAACAGGACAGTTGTGTTGTTGTTGCTTGCTTGCTTGCTTCCTGATCTAGTTGTATTTTTCCCCCGGCTTCAGAAATCCACTGAAGTTGTAAGAGATCATATACATGGTACACAAGCCATAAGATAAACTCGAGAAGTGACATGGGAAGGAATGGGCAAGTTTTCGGTTCTTATTATTGAAAAGTAAGGTAACAATTTTATTGATCTCACGTCCCACACTCTTTCAGTGAAAGGCTTAAATTTTAACCTAGAGGCCTCAATCTTCTGCAAATGTAAGCTCTGCCACCATCAAACTCCCTTACTCATGATTTGACTCATAAAGAGAGTAATAGTTATAATCTTCCATAGAACATTTCCACAGTAGGATTCTCAATATATTTAAGTTCTGGATGAAAGAAGGGAGGAGAGACAAGTAAAAATTCTTTAAACTTTGCACTAAAAAAAAAAAGAAGTCATGATTTTTGGCAAATCAAGTGTGAATTTGAGATGAAAAGATCTCCACATATTTTAATTTGGAGGTCACTTTGTATTTTTTTTCTTTTCTTATCTGTCATGACCAGTAAAAAGTAACCAAAACAGGTTTAGACCAAGAATAATTGTGTAAAAAAAAGTGTTATTAGTGTTACCAAGAGGGATATATTGTCAAGGTAATGCAATTGTTAAAATGATGAGTGGGGCACCTGAGTGGTTCAGTAGGTTCAGCGTCCTACCCTTGATTGGCTCAGGTCATAATCTCATGGTTCATGGATCCAAGCCCTGCATTGGGTTCTATGCTGAGCATGGAGCCTACTTGGGATTCTCTCTCCCTCCTTCTCTCTCTGCCCCTTCCCCACTCATGCATGCTTACTCTCTCTCTCTCAAAGTGAATAGACTAAAATAAAATAAAATAATGAGAAAAGCTGATACAGTATCACTCATCTTCAATCTAAATCATCTTCATGGAGTATCCCGCCAGCAGAGACCACCCTCCTCACAGTCTGCAGAAGCGCTTGGTGAGACTGCTTCAAGAACAAAGTAAACTTTAGTTTTCGTCTTCTTTGTCAAAATATAAAGATGACTTGGTTGACAGACCAAGGAGGATTGGCTGCTTTAATAGTACAAGGAAATAAAATTTGAGGCCAGACTGTTCCGGTTTAATCCTAGTTTTATCATTTACTGACTTTATGACTCTGAACAAATAGTTTAGTCTCTGTGTGCCGGAGCTGCCCCTTCTCTAAATAGGGATGACGAGAGTTCTCCCTTCCACATGTAACATGTACATCCCGTGATGTCACCCACAGCAGTGGGCAGGTTATCAGCACTTGACCAGTGTACGATGCTGACTTACTATTGTTATTACCACTGTTAGTTATTATCTTTTACCACCTGATATCAGTAAGTTGCCCTCTGACATTCTCGATGAGGACGCAATATTTTGATTACTACTGAGAAAATGCTGTCCTATTGACACAAGTCAGTATTTTCTGGGGTGCAATATTACTGGGAGATTCATTACTCTATTTTTGGAAGAGTTGCTGCTTGTCCAGGAAAATTCTGAGATGAGCAAAATACAAGCAAATTCACAGACTCTTCTTTTAGATTTAGACTTGAGAATCTGATTAAACAACAGATAATAAATAATGGATAAAAAATACTCATAAGTTGTTCCTCCCTCCAATTACGCCTCCATTCACTCATTCAGGTTATTACAAGTCTAAGTCAGAATTCAGCTCTTTAAGTAGGTGCTCAAAATGAGAGGACTCTCCTCAGTATGCCGAGGCCCAGAGCACAGTATCTGGCCAGGAGCAGGGTCAGCCTCGGCTGAAAGCTGGCTGCTGGGACGTCCCTCTCTGAACTTTACAATACCCCTCTCAAGTTTGTTGTCAACTAAGTTGATTCCATCCAGCCTGATTGAAAGCAGAAAGTCATTTGGGTCCTGGAAGCAGAACCAAGCTTAAGGAGGTAGTGCCTCTTCAGGAGTGTGCCAGACCCGCCTGCACCAGCAACATAACATAGTGGTAATGCGAGGCAGATCCAGAGACAGCTGGGCCTGGGGGTGAATTCTGAAGCTGCTTCCTCCCAGTATTTGATTGTCCTGGGCCAGGTTCCATCACCTGTCTAAGCCTCAGTTTCTTCATCTGTGAAGTGGTGACTGACGAGACCTGCGTTCAGGCTGTGGTGAGTGAGGCTCACATGGGCTAACGCTTACAAAGCACATGGCCATGGCACCGGCACAGGGGAAGAACTCAGTCTGTTAGCTCTGTTATGATTACCACCAACACATCTGCCTCTAAGATCAACCACTATGTACTGTTTCTCTGGGATCCCTGTCAAAATGTACGTGGGCTCTCAGGAAGGGTTACACACTGGCATGCATAAGCAAATTAACAAAAAGATATTAAACAGAGAGCAGGTAAATCATGGTGGGAGAGACGGGGGAGGAGCCAGGGCTGGGGACTCCAAGGCTGAGACCTAGGGCCTTGATGAGACATTAAAGTGGAGACACTGGGGCTACGTAAGGACACACAGCCTGGAGTGTGGGGGCTCTCCCAAAAGAGGGCCCCAGTGGAAGATCCTGTTCCTACTTCTTGGTTTTGCCTTCTAGAGACTGCCCAGACAGGAGGAATCAGCCTTTGGACTGATGGAAATTATGTATCAGAGAAGGTAACCATAATTGGTCTTTCATTCTTAGTCTTTTAAAGCCACAAGCACTTAATCCAATAATGATCATGTTAAAAATAATTTATCACATGTCTCCCATGTACCAGGAACTGCCTGTGGTTTTATATATTAATATATTTAATCCTTTTATCTATATAAAACATCAGGTTTATAGAGATAACAGGACTGAAGCTCACAAAGGTTAGGAAACCCAAGCTGGTCTCATACCTAGTTGGTTTAAGAGCTGGGGCTAGGATTCTTGGCATGAAACTACAAAAAAATTTTTGCCTGTAAGGCAGACCCTTGTTAACTCTTGGTGACATCATCATCAGAAGGTTTGCTCTGCCACCTTAGAAAAAGGGGAATTTTTAAAAAGTATTTTATTTAAAAAAAATCTCTATACCCACCATGGGCCTCGAACTCACAATCCCAAAAACAAGAGCTGCATGCTCCACCACCTCAGTCAGTGAGGCTCCTGGAGAAGGAGACGTGGTTTTGTTTTGTTTTTTAAATGTTTATTTATTTTTGAGAGAGAGACAGAGTGTGAGCAGGAGAGGGACAGAAAGGGAGGGGAAAAAAAATCCAAAGCACACTCCAGTCTCTGAGCTGTCAGCACAGAGCCCAAAGCAAGGACTGAATCTACAAACTGCGGGATCACAACCTAAGCCAAAGTCAGACACTTAACTGACTGAGTCACCCAGTTGCCCAAGGTATATGTTTTTTGAAAGCAGGGTTCTAGGTCACAGGTATTCGAAATGGCCTGAATGCTTTTCTTCAGCTTTATCGTCCTCCTTCAATTGTGTAAAATGACATGAGTGGAAGGTGATTTGAGTTGCACCATGGAGTTTTAAAGCCCCACTATTACAGAAAGCTAAATATAATCTTAAATATATTAGTAGCAGCATTAAATTATACTGGGGCATTCAGCCCATCTGCCACTTTTTTAGCTGACCTAGAGAGGACTGATTTGTTGAGCTTCTGGAGTGCCTCACTGACATTCTGCTCATGTAGTCAAGAGGCCTTAATTATAAAACTTTTTCACTAGGTCTGCCACACTCTCAAAGCTATTAAAAATATGTAATAATGCAAGTGATGAATCACTAAATTCTATACCTGAAACTAATATTACATTGTTTGTTAACTAACTGGAATTTAAATAAAAACTTGGGAAAAAATGAAATAATCTCACCCTTGAGCCAATACACAGTACAGCTTACATTTGTGGTAAAACCATTCTGGAAAAGTTGTGCATAAATTAAACCACAGTTTCCCATTGAAATCAAAACAATAATAAAT